TTAACCAGTTAACTGTGGCGATCTTTTTGCAAAGCGCGCACCAGTGTGTGTCGCGATAATCAAGCGATGATGAGTTAGCTCTCAAGAATTTATGAATCCATCTCAAATCATTTACACTTTTTATTTGTTTATTTCATTTCGTGTTGACCTCTAAACATTTTAAACATATTACAATTTACGAATATAATTTAGTTTTCGCCAAAATTACAATTTAAATATCAAATTGTAACAAAATTTTACGCATGACGGATATAGTCATCATGACACAAAATTCTGCCACATCTCCATTACGGATATAGTCGTCAAACACACTTAACTGGTTAATTGTATTAATTACCAAGTACAATATGGACCTTATTGAAATTATATTTTTTTTACGAAAGCTATAAACGAAAGAATAGATGATACAATATTTCTTTGGGTTATGTAAACATTTATTTTTAGTTTCAGATATTTCTTACATACAAGGTAAACCGTATATTTTAATACGAATATGCTTGCAATTCATGGTAAAGTTTTATCTTTCATTCATTTATTAGCTAATGTACTTCGATTTTAATCTAATTACGAATGTTTTTTACACCAACATTATATTATTTTGTGTTAATGGAATGTAGAAGGTCAACAAGGTTGTAATTAGATTGGAACTGGGTTTTCAATATGGCGTCATTTTGAATGATGGCGGGAGGTCATTGTCGAATACTTTTTGACGCTTCGTTGACGTGTAATTATAATTTATCGAACATTATTCTTCGAAATTTGAAAGACTGGAATGTCAGTCGTGTCAAAATATTTTTAATACTTAATAATCAACAGAATTATTCCAAAATGAACCGATCATGAATAGAAATATTACTTGTTTCTTTATTTCTTGTGCAAGTTCCAAATACTTCTTGACATTTTGTTGATGGATAATTATAATTTATCCAATATTGTTTTTGAAGATTCGAAAAAGTATCAATCATGTCAAAGTACTTTGAATAATCAGTAATTAATAGAAGTAAATACAAATAAATATATTAGAAATTTCAAAGCAAATCTTTATGTGTTTATACTACAAAAAAAGATTTCGACTATTTTTTCACTCTACTGTACTTATATTTTTAGTTATGAAACTTTAAAGGTATCCACTTAACAAAGGAAGAGGGAGAAAAGTGTTGTTACAAAAATTACAATGATTTTATCCAGTGTTTTATGTATTTTTGCGGTATGTATGAGGTTATCTTAGTAAAATGACGTCGTATTAAAGTAAAGTAATGATAAAAGTGGATAAAAATTAAGGATGACCTTGGTTTTAAATTGAAATAAAGAAATTAGTAATCTATAAGTAACAATGAAATTATCAGAAGGTCAAACATGTTGTATACTAACAATGAAAGTGATGATTTGTTAACAAACGTTTCTTATCGAGCTATTTTATCATGTCCTATTGTGGTTATATCTTTAAGTATTGATTGTCTTTTGTTTTGTAGACAAAGTGACACACTTCCATCCGTTAATTCAATTATTTGTTAAATTATTCGTTATTAAAAGAATATTTTAAATATAGCGTTACATTATGAACATAAATGTCTAGCAGTCGTTTCAAAAATTTTAAGGTGACTTATATTTTTTTTATGAAATCACATATTTCTCTCAGAGGCAGATTCCATAGGATATTTTTTATACAATAGTATCAGGAGTAGATTTTAGTATAATAGAGAAAAATAAACAATTCGTGAGATTTTTTAATTCTGAAATTTCAATATTTGATATAAAAGAGATAAACTCATTTTTGTTAATAAACGTTTTATTTATTTTTGTATAGACCAATACTTTGAAAAATTCCATATAGACAGGATTAGCACATGATATCAGAATATTTCAAATTTTTTTATGATACCATAATTGTGTTTGGAATATAAAACCTGTTGATTTTGTTGATTATACTTTCATATTTTTTTAGGTAAAATGTTCCATAGAATTTTAACAGCAAACAACTGACCAATGGATTTAAGCCATTTGCAAAATAAACAGTTGATATATCTTTAATTATAAAATAATTTGACTTCATGTATGAAGTGATTAATGATTATTTTAATTATCGCATTTTCAAGCAGAGAATATTTTTATTAGTAATTAAAATAGAACACGGCAATTAATTGCTTACAATTATTTAATCGTTGCAAGTAATAAAAACTCTCACTTTATTACGCGAATATCGAATAATTGTCGTAATTAACGAACTAGCAATTTACCGTTCTTTCATCGCTTATAATCGTCGAATGAAAGTTGACAAGAGAAATATAATTTCTGCTTAGAAAACGGCAAATATTGACACGATTGTGCAAATACAATTTCACTCTTGTAATTGCATTCATCTAACTATGTGGTATAATTGCAAATCTCGGTTACCAACCATCGACACAGTTGTTAATTGATAAACTAACATTGAATAAACGAAAGCAAAATCGGGATTGGTTAATAATTTTATATAAATAATTTAAATACAAATTGTACAAATTCTTAGAAGAAAATTATTGATGACAGTTACAGGATTTGTAGAACATAAAAATGTTACCCGTAATTGACAAACAAACCAGTAAATTATAATCAATTCGCAAAATACAATGTTTCATGTAAGCGCGAGCGAAAAAGGTCTTGCTTGTTCAACAGACAAATTTATAATGAATATTCGGGCATCGCTCGAGCAATGTTCGC